AATGGTTTAATTTGATATTAGAGTCGTCATACTTCGGTTCTTCACATGATATTCTCGACAAGGATTCACTTATAGTTATTTGAACGGTTCAACAGTCTATTTTTATCTAGTCATGACGTTAATGAGCACTGCGAAGAGCTTCTAGTGCAAGGAATTGATATGAATTCTGCAATCTATTTTCAAATAAACGCCTCAGAAATGGAATTATGTGACATAATCCACTCACTGGTGAGACACCTTTAGGATAATCCTATGTGATTGATAAATGTGACAAGCTCGCCCTTAATGATGTGACATTAAATTTTCATGGAAAATTGCATTCCAGTCTGCATAATTCAGTCATAACGTGTCCATTAGTGCTGCGTGTGTAAATTTATGGAATTTTGCCATTGAATAAGAGGAAATATGCAAAAACTTGGGATGAAAAAAGCAGGTCACAGGAAAATTTAACACACCATGAATTTTTCAATACCTATATGAATATTGATAATTTAGAAGCGACATTTTTCACATTAAAGACTTTAATGGGATAATAAATTCACCATAGAAATTTTCACTTTTGATGTTTTCATTAATTAGTCATTGGAATTTACCTGCTAATTTTTCCCCGAATTATACGCAATCAATTTTCAATGGTAGTCAAAGTAACGATAAATCCCCTGCAACGTAATTCAGCAGAACTCATGCAGATTAAAAACGTTAATGACTATTGCGTGTCGAGTTGAAGCTTTAGACTTGCACAGAAAGTCCACAAAATTCACGTAAATCCCTTTTTGTGAATGGGATTTAATCCCTTCTGACGCACATAGTTGTTCTGGGTACATTTTCCATAAAGGCTTATGTATTTTTGTGAGTGGGGCAGCGAAGCGAAAAGCCCATAAATCAATATCACCAAAGCTCAGCCTCTTTCAAATGCATCTCCGGGCATCTTTTATGCAGTCCAGCCAGAGAATCTCTCCCACATGGACAATTTATTCATGATACACACCCACCAATGATAGGAATACACATTTTCCCAGCCTCTCCGCATGACTGTAAATCTGCAAACGTGACGCAATATTTTATTTTGTAGTCCACATAATCCATTTTTCATCACAAACGTGACACTTGTCTTCCCATGGCAGGCTCTACATCTCTCTGTCGATGGGTGGCAAAGCGGATGGTGTAAATTCATAGGACAAATCCCACATGACGGAACAAATGAACCACAAGTGACCACAATTCATGATCTGAAGTTATTTGTGAGAGTTTGTACGTTCGAAATTCATCGGATCTCGCAAGAATAGAACAAAGACACGCATTCCTAAGGCTCATAATGATCAATATCATGACATTTCACCTATTTCCTCATTGACTAAGAGTGTGACTTCACAAGTGTAATTTACTGAAATATAGAGAAACTTCCCAAAAATCTACCACTGAAAATACCCTCGCGAAAGGGAAAGGGAGAGAGAGAGAGAGAGTCAAGAGTGGCACTAGAAGAGCTCCACATGGGCCAAGTTTTGAAAGTTTAGCAATTTATCACATCGACTCGCATTTTGTGTGATTTTCCACAAATAAAGCACCCCCACACACCGCATGTGGTCCGCAAACTTTACTGATATTCTGCATTAATAAGCCATAAATTATTTCGAGGATGAAGTCAATGGCAATGAATGGACTTTTCTTCCAAGCCAACATTGAGGGGTTGAATAGGGCAAATTTGATGGTCTTCTCGTCAATTTGCCAATAATACCAATTTGACTACCAAATGAACAGATAATTTTCAGCGGAACTCAAGCACAACACTTCGAAACAAGTTTAAGGGTGCAAATCGGTGAAATTGGAAAAGCACAAACTGAGATTAAACGCTATATGGAAGATTTTCGATGTCAGGGAGGAAATAATGGGGAGAAATTCTATGTTTAATCATTTTCAACAATACTTTTAGAAGCTCTATAGTGAAAAAAAGCTCACATTCATGCTCTTTCAGCACTAACATTTCACTAGTGTCATTCAATAGTGTCAATTGTGATGAAAAGCAAAAATATATCTCCTTCTTGGGGAAAACTTTGAGCGTCACTGAATTGTGCGATGTATATATTTTGTCTCCACGACGGATTTCCTACAGTTTTGCATGTTGTATAAAGTTTGGGAGTTTATCTGTCGCATTTGGAATTGCAAGACATGCTGAATGGTTTGAATTTCCTAACACTTCACCCACTTTGCGCTCATATTTGCAGTATAATTAAAAGGATACGTCAGTTTGGAAACTGGAAATTTTATCTCTCACCTCTTGGGGAAGATCTTGAGAAGTGTAGAGAGATAGTACGGAATTATACGAAAGGCAAATGCATAATAAATGTTTTGTAATTATTCTCAAAATACTAAAGTGTGCGCTCTTCAGTGTGAAATTTTTTAAATGATCCCATTTACAATGATGATTTTCTCATGACACGAAGTGTTTTGCAGTTCATTTTTCACAACACTTGAGAATGTTGTGACTCAAGAAATGCAGATGACGTGGAAAAGCTCATGGGACTTTTCGCATGGACTCAAGAGGGAGCGAGAAAAATGGTGAAATGTCTCATTTGGTGGCGATAATGAGGCGAAAAAGTGTGATTTTTTGCACAAAAATGCCACACAACTCCAGAAAAGTGAGCGAGAGAAGATGAAGTCCTCAGCGAAATGGCACGGAATAACGAGAGTTTTTTTCCTCACCATCACCACACCCAGAAGCCCTTTCTGCCCGGAAGTCTAATGAGGAGGTCTTTTGAGTGGAATCGACGCCGGAAGGCAAGAATGCAGAATTTACAGACTCAGGCTGATCCAAAAGATACGACGTCCAATCAGCTCCACCCCTTCGATTGTGTGAATTCCAGTGCCTAAGTATCCCCTCGGGAGAGTGGATGTGATCATAAAAATGAGGCGTGTGAGACAAGAATCTCGCTCCCCGAAGAATGGCACACACATTCTTGCTGTTAAATTGCCATAAAAGTCAGTGGAAATTCCAAGAGACACACACTCTTCGCTTTTTCCTCTCTCTGCCCCCCGAAAATCGATCTGGGGTGGGGGTGGGGGACAAATTTACGATTTGCGCCGATAAAGTCGATCAGAGGGAAAGTCTCACTTTTGCCAATTTGCATTGAGAGGCACTTTCACTTGGCGAAATGTTCGTCACCAAGTCAATTTGCCCATGAGCGGCATAAATCACACACGAAAGAATCAGAGTCTTATCGCCAAACACCACGGAAAATCCCCATTCACAGCACGCGCCGAAAGCGAATCCCCTCGACGTTATAACTCACGCTGAGGTTTTTGGATGGAGGGAAGAGAAAAGGCCCGAAAAAAGGGGCGCAAAGCGAATGGAAAATGCTTCATTAACTGTGCCTTTCACTTAAAATCATTATGACTTTTCTTAAGTTTATCTGCACTTCGCGTATAATTCATGATTCGCTGTTACACTTTTGCTGCAATAAATTCACTGATGATCGTTATTCGTTTAATGTCCGTCAGGGAGAAAAATTAGCTCTTCTTCCTGGTTATTCACTTTACCGAGTTGATTGCTTGTGAAAAGTTTCCTTTAAAATGTCAATTATCAAAATTCCTGCGAAGATATAATCAAATTGCTTCACTAATTAATTGCTGTATTTCTGTAACTTTCTCAATGATTTTCTTTGATGAACATTTCCAATTACGCTTCCTCAAGTGGCCGCCGCACAAAGGCCTTCTCTCCTGCCCTTTATGAGGAAATTAATCCGCCACTTGAGAAGACAATTAGCAATTTGGGTCTAAATTGAAAAATAATCTGTCAATTATGAGTGTCTGTGACAATTGCAGAGCGCGCGCTTCCGCGAGGATTCAACGAAGGAGTGGTGGAATGATAATGAGGATAAGTTGTATTCCGGGAGGTCTCGTGCAGCAATTCAATTAGTGACTAATTAAAAAGGAGGAACGGCTTCAACGGGAAGGAAATTCACTTCCCACCAATTTAAACTTGGACCTCCAGCGCAAGTGTAGCGGCAATAATGCCTCGTAACACCGCAATTTCAACACCCAATAGCAATTTTATTAATTATCTTTGTGGGATTATTAATATTCTTTTCCTCATTTATCGCGTTTATGGAAGATGAAGGATCTTCATCTCATCTCACAGCCTTGGGTGATGCAATGAATTTTTATGCAAGGATTAGTGGCTTTTCTCCAGAGACTTCTCTCTCTCTCTCGTAATTACCACTGGAATTTTTATGAGCTTGTGAAAGAGACTTGACTGAGGAGGAAAGTCTTCACCGGAATTCATAAATTCATAAAGTGACTTTCTGTCCTTTCTCTCATGTCCTAATCTTTATTCGCATTAGTCTTGAGATGCCATCAAATTTTCCTTTGACATCATGAATATTCAGGAAGCATCGCATAAAGTGAACAAACTAGAGCAAGTTTAAGAGCAAACTGAAAGGGTTTTCCATCCTCTGCTTTGTCGCACTAAACCTTAAGTAATAGGACTTTATGAGTATGCATTTCGCCCAAGAAAGTCCTGAGAAAGCTCCACAAGTTCAATACAAAAGTCACAATAATGCGCGATGGCGAGAGAGTGTGTCATAAATTACGATGGGAAACTACACACATATCGGCCTGTCCACTCCGATAAACACGTCCCATCGATTCCCATTTGCACCCTTAAATGCCTCTTGGGCTGCAGAGTGGCATAGTAGATTCAATTTCCTCACAGCCACTGATGGACAGCCTCGGATAAGGCTGATAAGTAAAATGAGTTGTGCTCCATCGGGATTTTGTTACCTCTTTTGGACAATTTCATCTCAGTTATCCTGCGATACAACAGAAGCGGATTCAGAGGAGAAAGAGTGCTTTTTTCTTCAGCAAATTGGCGAGACATTCAAAAACTTGACAAAATACCCAAAATACATCCCAAATGAGGAAGAATGTTAGACTTTAAAGTCTCCTCAACTCACAATTCCTTGACAATAACTTGTGCAATATTGTTATGATATTTTTCCCTACTCTCAAGTGTTTTCCTAGTATTTTCCATGCAGATCCTGAAGTGAAGATGCTCTTCAAAACCGGAAGGTGAGACAGAATGTCTTGAGATTGTGTTGATTCCACTTTGTCCAGCAGTTTGCTGAGGACGGGAAAATTCTTCCCAAATTCACCCCTGCATTTCACTCCTCTGGCCGTCATTCTTCACACACACACACAGACACACAATTCTGGAAATGGAAAGGCAAGAGCGCAAAGCATCGTAATTGTGGAATGGATAAAGTTTATGCATTAGCGCGCTTATCTGCACCATTTCAAGGCGCGTCGTTGCCTCAAATATGACGACAATTTTGGCAAATTTCACATGAAAGCCACAATTTCAGGCGGTGCAGAAGATTAGACAAAGGCCAACAATTCAGTGTCTGTCGTCCTTTATCTCATCCTGCGGCCCATTTAGTTACATCTATTGAGGATAATTTCGAAATTCTCCGTCACAAGATAGTCGTCTTGGAACAGGATGACGAGATTCAGTTCGAATTCTGCAAAGAGAGATGAATTCATCGTGAAAAATCCAAATGAAACAGATGCCGAAGGAGATATGGTCGAAAACCCACCGACTTTGAAGTTCTTCGTCAGCAGCGTTGGACACGTGAAGAGTCGCGGAAAGATCATGTGAATGGGAATGTGAAGCTTCGGACACACGTTTCCCTCTGCAATCTGGATGTTCTGTATCTCCGTGGCGTCACGTGAATATCCTTCGGCACATCCGCAAGTCTCCACGCGCACCAGTTGCACTTCGATGCTCCTGATGGGCACTTCCGTGTGCTGAACAGTGACGTGTCCTGTGAAGGGCTTCGTCAGGCAACACTCAGTGGCATCCAGACGTCCCGTGATGAGGAATCTGGGAATGGAAATTCTCTCCTTGGCACTCTTCTGCAGTGTCTCCGGACTGATGGTGAAGTGCACTTCATTGCCGCTCTCCTTGTGCGATGGCTTGTACTGAATCATGAACTCCTGCTGCTTCTGCACACTCTTGGCCAGGAAGCTACGTCTCATTTCGCACTTCAGCATGTAATTGATGTTGACAAACACCCCGTGATATGTCTCGTACAGGATTCTGGGCTCTTTGCGACACACCAGAGGAAGCTCAAAGGAGAAATCTGTGCGTCCGGATGGGAGTTTTCCGGGTGGAGATAACTCGAGCTGAAGATTCAGCAACTGAATTGGCTGCAGAGAAACCGACCGGGAGTGAGTTTTCTCACAATTACAAAACACCCAATACATGTTATACCTTCACAGAGTTGTAGAATGCCTCAAAAATGCCCACATTCTTGTTGCTGAGCTGAAGATTCACAACTCCCTCCATAGTCAGGAAAATGCCATCGTGCTTCGTTTCAGAGCCACAAATCACACTGACGATGCCCCTGAGTGTTTCCTATTCAAAAAGAATTTGATACATGACACCTCAACCCACAATTATTCATGTATATTTGTTTAATTACCTCCTCGTGATATATTTTATTGGCCCTCGAAAGTTGGATCTCGAGATTCACAGACATGTTTTGATTTTATTGACAACTCAATACTCTTCGCCACTACTCACCACAACGGCGCTGCATGCAATAAGAAGAAGAACTTCCCGCCTTCCCGGCTTCTACTTTCCTGACTTTCATAGAAAAATTATGCCTTTATTATAAGTAAAATTTCTCTAATCAGATAATAAATGGAGATAACAAGTGCTACTTGGGCGAAGCATTCATATATTCAGCCTTTATAGACTCTCTTTCGGCGATATTAGGAAGATAAGGTTGAATGCCTTTAATCTTCCGGTCGTTCATCACTCTTCCCTGAAATTGCACACTGATTAATTTTATACTGCTGACAAACGCTGGGAAATAGAAAAAAAAAAATCTTACCCAGAAGTGTTTGCAGTTTTTGTAGTTCTGGAAATACATCTCACATTTTCCGTGATCGTAATTGTTCTTATCCAGACATTTGTACGACATTTCTTGTTCCTGCATCAAAAGAAAACCACAATTAAGCTCCTTCTATACAATTCAGGTGCAGCATTACCTTCAGACAGGGGTTATTCTTCTCTGCATCTGGATTTTTCGGCATTTTCCAGATATTTCTACTCACAAATTATGTAAACAAAACAATGAGGTTACATCTTTACCCACTTTCCCACGCTTAGCGCCGCGGTGGCCAGTGAGATAAGCATTAAGTTGTCAAATCGTGTTTGTGATTTTGTGTTTTTCTCTCATTTTCATCTTTTTCTTATATTTTGAGGGCGTTTCTCCTCTTAAAAATTCCATACATTCATACCCAAGGTTGACCAGAGTTGTTTGATGCAGACAACAAGTGGAAATCTGGTGAAAATCTGTGTGTTTTGAGTGAAACATTCCACAGGTGTTCCCAATGGCCGTGCCGCTTCGTCAGCACTGCTAATCTCACCTTTTCCGCCCTCAAATTCACACACAACATTGCCCAAGAGTGCTGATCAAGTGCCTGCAGCCAGAAGTGGCGATGGGAAAGGTGACAGACAACGTGCCGGGAAAGCAGCAGTCCGAGAATCCGGGTGTGAAACTCGCCTCGGCGCTCCAGCAAATGGATGGAATCATTTCCGGTGAGTCTTTCTAGGCTTTTCTCTTGTCCAATTTGCTTCGCTCCGGGTGGGAAATTGGAGCCAAAGCCCGCCTCACAAACACTTCATTCGCTTCCTCAGCCTCCTGGCCACGGAGAGTGGGCGGTGGGTCGAGAGAGTGTGGCGTTCATCAGCCGACAAAGCCGGGGATTTGGGACTAAAGAAGCCGTCTGTGTTGCAACAGGCATTCAATGAACTCGTGCTGAGAGGGCACAAGAGAGACTCTCGGAGAGCGAGAAGAGCAATTGAGAGGGGCGCCAGTCAAAGTGGCGATTTATGGGGTTGCGGAATTTTCAATAAGAAAGTGCAGAGATTTTTTTTTTGAAATCTCCATGAAAAGATAAGATAAAATACCGGCAAAAGCATAGTAATAAAAAAGCTGTGACAAAATTCAGGGGCGGATTTGAAAATGTTAGACGGAAATCTTGATAAGAAGTTCCAATTCAATAGATGTGAATTAAGGATTTCAGCTTCGATGCTCCGCCTACTTGAATGCCACGCCTATTTGGCCATTCAAGTGCGTAAATCTACTTTAATGTTTCTCATCTTTTTTTCCTTTCCACTGCCTAAGATTTATCAGACTGTCGAGGGTCTTAATATTAACTGATGAGAACAACAAATTTTCTTGGTTGATTTATCCAATTTGTTTTTTTTCAAAAATCTCCCTCTCAATCACATCTATTGTGAAAACAAACAAACCAATTAGCTCTCTTATCATTCTTATCAGTAGCAGTCCAATTTCTCGCCTCTTTGACTCTCTGTCTCTCTCTCTCTCCCCCCATCTCTCTCCCTCTAGCTCTCTGAGGCATAAAGAGAGGATTTGTGGGAGAGCGAGAGTCGAGCGTGTGTGCTTTTGACACTCAATTGGGGTGGTTATTCACTGTCGAGATCCCTGTCGTACTGGTTGATTCGCCCCTCTGTGCAAGTCGCCTTGGATGTGGTTTAACGAGGAGTTAGTGGAAATATTCAGTGCTTTCCTTTGAGCTACGTGACCGGCTTATTTAGGGGTTAATTTGACCAGGAAAATTTCCTCTCCCCAATTGGAAATGAACTGCCCATGAAGGGTGTGGAAATTTCGGGAGTGGATAAACACATTTGGCGATAATGTTGCAATTTGCGGTGTATTTAAATTGAGTGCTCAGTGTCGAGAATAAAAAGTGAAAAAAGAAGCCCTTCCAGAAAGCAATGGAATAATCTTCACTTTAATCGCATTCGCCAAATTCGATATCCTTTTTCGCGCGATAGAAGAGGTCGAAGGCACAGATCGAATTACCACCATTTCTCTAATTTAGTGTTATATAGCAAGGAATCATTGGAGATTGAATTGCTGGAATTTTTTATGGTATTTATTTCACGAGGGGCAAAAAGGTTGATTTTACGATATTCTCACGCTTTTTTTTTTATCAGTATGGTGTTCGCGGAAATGATCTTCCGTTTGATTTATGGCTTTTCAATTTATAAATGTTGCGATAAGGAATGCTTAGTTATGGGTTTGATGTATAGTTTGGGTGTTTTGTCGAGAGTCTTCCAATAGATCTCTCTCCATGGCTGATGGTTATTCCTATCTTTTGTCCACCAGCTGCAAAATCGAATCAACAGCGTGTACAACAATGGAATGGACGCGAGAAAAAAAACATGAGGATAGACTATAAATAGGCAATTTTGTTCCCCTGTCAATTCTCTCAACAACACATGAAAGTCGAATGAGTTCCTCTGCTATTCCAGCCGGTATTTCTGTGACCCTGCCTAGATATTTTGGGGGGACTTTTTCCTCTCTTGAGTGTGAAACAATAGGAAGAGGGACTTTGTGTGATTGGAATTCACGGGAAATTTATTGAGCTTCAAATGGAGCTTTTTTTTCCTTGTTATAGCTACTTAATTTGCCATACGTTTTTTTCTTCTCGTCCAATTGCTAAAAGCCGACCTGCATAATATGATAAGGTATCGTAAACAGGATTAATTTTCCACATGGAATTGTATTGGGCAGATGAAGGCCTTCTCTGATATCACTGCTGTTGCATTGATTGTGAACGGCGTCGGAGGGGGGTCATTGGTTAGGGGGTGAACATAATGCGAAGACTAAGCGCATGCCGGAATGGCAATGTAAGTGGAATGACATCATACAAAAGAGTTCCTGTGTGTGTCGAGGGAGTGATTCTGTGTCAGGTTGAAGCAGTGGGAGATTCACCATGCTACCCAATGGCATTGCTTTTCAATCTCGTGGTAAACAAGAAAGGGAGGGGAGAGGAAATCACTGGAAAATATTCCGTATAATCCTCCCATTATTCCCTGCGAAAGTAGTCCCTCTGTCTCCATGATTCTTCGAGCAATTTACCAAAGGTTTGCGAAGGGAATTGATTGTCCCTTGTTTGTTTGAAGTGAATGCTTGAGAACCTGCTCGAGATTTACTTTGGTGCTGATTCAACAGGTGGTTTTGTATTGGGGCATTTCTTATATTATTTCCACGATTCGCATTATTATTTCTATGATATTCAAATCACAACAAATATTTGTATTGGACATTTTTATCCAAGGAATAAAAGACCCTCCATTGATATTTGCCATGGCAAAGAAGAGAGAAAGAGAGAGACATGAGAAAAGGGGGAAAATTCTGTGATATATCCTTATCTTATCTCAAAGAGAATTGAGTATAATTTAAAAATCACAGGTTTTCGTGTCTCTACCATCTCTTCTTCCAACCTTGTAATATCTTTTCCACTGACAATGAGTCACAAATGAGAAGTAAGCGTCGTAATTTTATCTTGCACACTCTGTAATTTAATCCGTAATTTTTTCAGCGTCTCTTCTGCTCAAATATATCACTTAAAGTCGCTTCACTAAGAATAAATTTCCACATTGAGGGAATAAAAGGAGCGTTTTTACACTTAAATTTATAGGGAAATGTGTATTTGATTTGAGCCAAATTAAACAGCAAGATTTGAGTGGGTGTAAAGCCTTCCAATTAATCTTCCACGTGCAGAATTGATTGCCATATAATGGTTGAGTGACTCCCTGGAATAGATCCTTGTGCAAGAAGTGATGCAGGAAATGATTGACGGTGAAAATCACGATGAGAATTGTGCTCAATTATTCTCATCATGGAGGAACTTTTGCAGTCACTTTTGCCTACATATCCGGAGCTTATCAAGCGTTTACTGTGATGATATATAGGCACATATTATCCTGACGGGACACTCTCATCGATTTCACTGCCGACGCTTTCACACTGGCTCATGAATGCATTTCATCTATGGCGTTGTGTGCTTTCAATCTGCATATGAGGCGGGGAAAAAGAGCATTTGTCTTTCATTATGTTTCATTTAATCTCAGAATTATGTTTAATTCAATTGCTATATTCAGAATGTTTGTCAATTGACACAAATAGCAATTCCTTGTACATGGATTCCTAATGGATATTGTATGATGCTGTGAAAGGCAGATGCAATAGTCATTCGCCAATAACTGCAAACTCAGGGTGACACAATAAGAATCAATCGATTTTTTCCCCAATATACTAGAGTTACTCATTTATGAGCAATTTCCCACGTTGTGAAAATGGGGGTATTCTTTCAATAAAAGGGCCAAAGAGAAAGAGAGAATGGAGAGAATTTTATTGCTTTCTGTCTCTTCAATATGATATTATTTCGGGATTCCGGCACAAATGCACATTCCTTGTTATTCAATATATCTATCGATATTTCCTAACCTTGTCCTGTATGTGACTAACCTTAGGCTGAAACCTATATTTGAGACAATAGGACGAGTGTTGAGAAAGTGCTAAAATTCGTTGAGCTTCTTCACAAATCATCCTTGTGCTTCGTGAAAAAGTAAAAAAAAAAAGTGCTGTGTTGGCCAAATATTAGGCGGTTTGAGGAACTCTCTATTCTTGTGTGTGGTTAATTCTCTCAGTGAACAGACAAGAGGCTTCGCGAAAGTGCTTCGTGGGCAAGTCCAGGACATTCTATGAGCATTTTCTGGCTTTTGTGCCGCCAAAGCCAGCCAAAGTTGACCTCCTGCGAACTCTACTGGGACCAGTTGGATCACTGGGCGTCGCTGCGATTCTTCTCATGACGCGCTGGTGGTGGTTTCGGGCATGCAACAATCCCAGTCCCCATGAGAATGGCAGTCTGCCCTCCGCCACAACCGTGGAAGAGCTGAAGGGCGCCACATCCTCCTGTGAGTTGGGGCTGAGTAGAGAGAGAGAGAGAGAGATGCACTTTGAATTCTTTTTCCAAGTGCACAGTGCGCCATCAAGTGTTTGAATTTGCATAAGGGAGTGCAATTTCCGCGGAAATTGATTTTCAATCGTCTGTAAAAGCTTACAAAGAATGTCTGCGGAAAATTGAACATGACAATGAATATTATTGCACGATATAAGAACTATTCGGTGCTGTATTCACATATTAAAACACAAAAATCAACAGAAATGCACTTTTTTGCCATTAATTGTAGACACAGCAATTTGACTACAATTAAAGGAAGAAGTATATTTTGGTTTTATGCATTATTATTATTATTATTGGTTTTCACCCTAGTTTTATTATATCAAGGGAAATACAAACTATAATTTCGGTCAAAAACATGCGCGATATAATTGCAAAGCAGCTTTTATCTCTAAATGCATATTTTGTGAGTTATCATATGAGTGAATCTAATATGAAATGGGGTGATATTCACTTCGGGGAATCCTAATATTGCGCTAATTTTGTGTATTTCAGGCGTAAATAACAGATGTCCTCCCAATGATGGTGTCGTGACGAGCTCAAATGTTCTAAATGCTGCTCAAACGCTGTCAACTTGCATCCAACAGTTGGGAAATGCCACACCAGCTCCGGATCCACTCACGGCGGGCATCATCAACACGTGGCTCGACACGCACTTGCCGGTGAGTGCTTTCTCAATTGTTGTGTATACATAAATGTTCGCCGAAGAGATGCAAAAAACGAAGATGAATGCCAGCGTCGATGGTGGAGTGGGACAATTTTTAATATGGAGTGCGAATTTATGAATTTCACATATATTTCCAACCTCTTGTGAAATTCAAATGAATTCAAGGGTGGTGCCGTTCATTTGCCGAGAATGTCGCCTCGATGTACGCGTTCGTATAAATTGCAAGATGCCGCGTGAATACTAAGTAGTTTGTCACTGTGTATGTGATGAGCATATATGGGAGGATGAGAGCTTCTCTTTTCATGAATGGCGAAAATGAATGTTGTGGGCAAACTGAGCGCAAAGAGGCGAGCGAGATTTGCTGGTGGGAAAAGTGATGATAGACATCTTTTGTCAATTTACTTCCCTTTGACCTCTTCTCTCTCTCTTAAGGGAGAAAACATTTCCTACTCCTCATGGTCGAAATTGAATTTCTGAGGAAGGGAAATTCAGGCGCGAGGCTTTTCAACCAGATAAATACTGAGAGGAATATTGTGGCGGAAGCCTTACATCGGTGTATTCCATGCAATTTTGGATGGAAATTCCATTGAATGGAAATTCATTGATTGCCACGAAAGCCAAGCATGCAAAGATATTTGTGGATAAAATAACTTCAAAGTCAAAGTGTATGCAGAGAAGAGAATGTGTGGGTTTTCCTCCGAAAATTAATGTCATCTTTGTGATTTTCACCTGTGAAATATATCACAAATCCGCTCTTCTATGCCGCGGCTTTGGGCCAAATTCACTGAACAGTATGCAAAATGAATCAGTTCCGCTTCTCTGATATTCATGAGGATATTATTTCAGTCCTGAGCGGAGTTCGTGAGAATGCTGTGCGGTGAATCCTTTTTTTTGCAATAGCAAGGATTTCTGTTTAATTTTTATTCCTCGAGAAGACTTCTTTGTGGCCTCCCTCAAGTGATTCGAGTGGAATATTTTACATCCTAACAACACTGAGAGTAATATTTTTATGTTTTATAAATATGTATATTAAGAGTGTGAAGTTTGTGAGCAACGTGTGAATTCTTCACACATTTCAGTGACTCTAATTGGCAGTTTTCTCTTCATTATTAGATCGCTTGATAATTTCCTCTCAGTGTTTAGCCTTCTCAAGCCAAAAAGGTTTGAAATATCTTTTTATATGACTCTGGAAGAGGCGGGATGTGAAAAAGTGTCGCTTTTACCCTTTAACTTTTCTTCTCTCATAATTTTGTTGCTATATACATTGATATGTACATTTTGTATAACGTTGAGGGATTCAACAAGACAACTCCTGTGGTTAAGAATATCAGGAGTGAGCTTTTGTGGGGTGTTTTATAACTTTTCCTTTATTGTTCTAAATGCAAACCAAACGGAAGTTTGATATTTTTTATTATAGAGTATGTGCGCGCGTGTTTTTTTCCTTTCTTCCTTTTGCTGAAATTGAGCTTTTTGTGCTGATTTTCAGCATTTCTTTCCTGGGTGGCCGTAAAGAGAAATTTGAATATTTCCCTCGTTTCATGTGCGGAGGAGGGCAAAGGATATTTCACGGAGTGTGTGGCTTGCTCTGAATTTAGATGAATGCCGGATTTATTTATCGTGGTTGGAAATCAGGAGGACAATTGAGTGTCTCTGTTGTGGACATTCTCGAGATTCTTCTGTAGGGATTTTCATGTTTTCACTAGAAATTTTGGTATTAATCCTATCGAGGACTCTTTTTCACTCGCTGCGTTATTAATTTTTTTTTAACTCAATGTCATTGTCACAGTTATCGATCCTTTTGTGTGTTGCTGTGCTGGGAAATTGTCAAAGAAATTCAATTAAATCTGATGCGCATCAATATCTCTTTCACAACATCTTTGATTATTCCCCCTGACAAATACAGCATTGATGGTCAATTGGATTTCGCCCGTCATCTCTTCATCTTCTCCGTGGCCTAATGGCTTGTCAGTGACGTGATACCTGATGGAATCATTAAAGTTCCATCGCTCCTCATCCAAGAGTGTTGAACAAAAGCCTCCTTGTCAGACTCATTGGTCTTTTTTTCACCACCTGCTGAAGCTTTATCACTGCACACTGACGATGTTTGCCGTTGAATGTGAGAAGGACTATCACAAAAGGACACTCTCCTCGTATTCAAACTATCCAGCGTCATTGTTTGCTGGGTAGTTTGTTGCCTTTTGTTTCAACCCGCAGATTCTTTCACGTGTTTAGTATGGTTTCCGTGGTATTTTGCTTGTTTCCAAGTGGAGAAGATGCAGAGAAATTGCAAATACCACTCGTATAGTTTCTATCTTCAGGGATTCTTGTTGTATTTTCTCTAAATTTGAGATGTTTCATGTTTTATTATGAAATACACTTAAAGTCTCATTAAAATTATTCTACTACACTTATTATGATTCTTTTCCAGTGTGACAACATGCTCTTTTAATTTCCCTCAGGGATTTTTCGTCGGATGTACTTTTTCATTCTCTTCGCTTTGCGATGGGAAAAGTAGCAAAATAGTCTTGACTTTGTGTGAAGAGGGATGAAAGTATGTGTGTTGGTGAGATAATTTAGCAAGTGTAGAACATAAATCATGGCTGAAGAGACCAAAAATAGAGTCTTCCTCTTGTCCTCGAATTTCCCTTCCAGAAAATCTCAATTTTCTAAGCAACAATCTCATCTTTTTTGATGCGTTTGTGGACATGAGGGATTTCATTCAATATTTCATTGTGACTCAGGAAATCCCTTAGAGACACCTTCCATTATATGTTTGTTCAGTCTCTGTGAGCTTTCCTGGGACTTTGTGGGGTTTGTACAGCCTAATAAAGCGCAGGAGAGATTCAAAAATGATGACACCCTAATTGCCGGTTCGTGCCAAATTGGCCGTCCAGAAAAGAGTTTTGAGAGTGAGAGAGAGAAACTGTGGGATTTTTCAGTCACATTCTCCCACATAATTAAACACAGATGATGAATTGTAATCCACAAATCCTCCTTTTATCCCTCATCTTATACTTTATATTTTCCTGCAACACTTACACAAAACCTCAAGCCAAAGCCACAAAGGCACTTTAATGGAAGCGTAATGCAAAGAATTAAGCTTAAATTGGCGTGCGGTTAACATCTGAGACTGTGAGACTTGTTGGATGGCAATTCAATGACACAAACTCTTGGCAATTAGATTAAGTTATGAATGGGTTCATTTGTAGAGTGGCTCGGATGTGGCGATAAATGACATACAATTGGTTTGTTTCCACATTTTCCGATGCTGTCTTCAAATTTCAATGGTTAATCTTCAATAGAAAAAAAATTTATATGGTTTGCACTCTAAATTCATAGAGTTCTTATTCGTAAATCTCATCAGCAAAACACATAGCAAATGTGTGAAACACACTTAAAGGCATTAATGTGTTTCATGTGAAGCCTTTTCCTCTTATGTTCCAATTTCCACCAGTTAATTTGACTGTGGAAAATTGTGTGTGTGTGTGTGTGTGTGTGTGTGAAGAAGAAAATCTAATTTTAGTTTGAGGCATTTTATCTTTATTAAAGTAACGAGGCCTCTTTTATCAGGCATGAACACGTTTTGTGTACAAATTTGGGTTAATTAGCAAATTTTGTGAACTTGTGCATTTTCCTAGTCTCTCTCAAATATTGAAATTTCTCTGTGGCGCGAGAGAAAAGGCAATTCCCCGAGGAATATCCAGAGTGAATTCAATTAAAGTGAATTTTCCGAATACCTTTTCTTCGAAATATGAAGGCGGGAGTGGAAATATTTATCCATTTTCATGCATTCAGTGCATTTTTCCCCGAATTATTCGTACATTGAAGTGCTGAATATTCATGGATTGAAATATTCTCCACTCTTCGAATGCAATTTCAATTACCTGTTAAGTAAACATTCCAATGTGCATGGAATTGTTTTGGTCAGTGTGTGAAAGAGAGTCGGTAATTAGGGGGAGAGAAAAAATTCCAGTGAAAAGTGGCGGAAGAGGTAATGTTTCCTGTGTTGAAGGGGAAAAGGACGCGCGTTAATGAAGGGATGGTGTGCTAAAATTTGATGAGAGAAGCCTGAGTAAACAGTGAATTTGATACGAGAGGAAGTTCGTGTGAGTTTTATGGCTATAAATGCGGGTGAGATTGTGGAAAAGAAAATTAATCAATCCATTAGACTTCTTGAGTATGTTGAAAATGAAAAAATAGGGGAATATAGCGTGCCCTTTTTCTTTCAACGAACAGATTGAATTTCTTCTTCTATCGGTCTAGCTATATGAAAACGCTGAGAATTCTCTGTTTATCAAATTAGAGTAAGAAAAAACCAACTGCTGCTGATCCTTGAAAGTTCACAAGCTTTCGTTAGTCTTCTGGAGAAAAAGCTGCATATTAATGGACTTTCTAGTGAAGAAATGTGGCTCGACTTTATTGTTTCTTGACTTTTTCTCTGAGATTCCTTGTTATCCGCCTTTTGACTCAACACAATCTTAAGGAGACTCGCCTTCACTTCCTTATCCGCCCTTTTATTATATTGTCGCGCGCATTTGTCTTTCATCACTAACAAATTTCATGTTATTTTTCCGCATTTTGAAGGGGTGGTGAAAGTGGAAATGTCGTAATTTCTTGACTTTCTTCTGATTGTTCCCAGTTGCAAGAAACGATGGCGGGTGGGGGGAGAGAGGGAGGGAAGGAGAAGGGGGAAAAACCTCGCCAGAGATTTTTCATGGAGGTGAAGAAGGAGCAATAATGAATCTTCCTATCGCGTGCTTGAAAAGGGTTTCATGTCGACAGATTTATTTCTGTATGTCTCTCTTCTCACTCCACTGGATGGTTTTTCCTCTTGGGCGCAATGGAATGGGTGGTAAATGCAAAATTGTACGCGTGATATATTTGTGTCTCTCAGATTTTCAATAGAGTGTGTTTTCTGGAAAGTTCGATGCTCTCGTAATTTGTGCGTCGCACTCTCTGCCTTGGAAATCGATCACCGACACTTGATGTGTGGTG